CCCCCCCTCCCCAACCTCCCTCAACTCCCCCATCCTCACCCACCTCCCTCAATGATTGCAATCCTTTGCATCTCACCCAGCTTGCTGGGAAGAAACTTGTCCTTCTTCCTCTCTATATACTGAATAAGTATGTGACATGCATACGTATATCATACGACGTAAATCGTCATAGAGAACTGCCCGGTAAACCATAGCCAGAGAGGGAGAAGGGGACAACAAACAAATGGGCTGTGACAGACTGTTTTGTCGAAGTTTCATCGATTAGTTAGGAGGGGTGAACACCCTACCGAGTCTACCCTCTACAGTCTGCAGACATGTGTAACTGATGATACTGTAAGTGGTAACCCCATTCGCGGTTAAGCATCGACGACTGCCCGACAACAGCTACCCCTCTGAGGACGTGGGTGAAACGGATTCCACCATTTCCAGTAGCTGATGCAAACCCAGGGCTCGATCCCTAGACCCCACCTTACCTGTGTACAGTATTCCCGAGTGTTTAAACCTGTGACCTGCGTCGTGGGAGTCTACAGATGCCTGTCGTAGGTTGTAGTTGTAGGTTTCTGGAAGAGTCCAGATCATAACTGCTACAGTCCTGAAAGGTCAAGGTCGTAGTTGCTACAGTCCCCGAAAGGCCAAGGTCTACAACTTTCCAGAAGTGGCCTTTCGGAGCAGCCTCACGTTTAGTAGAGGCAAGTGGGCAAGTGGGCAAGAGGTGTAGAGGCAAGTGGGCAAGAGGTGTAGAGGCAAGTGGGCAAGTGGCGAGGCTAACCCAATAGGTTAGCAGCGTTGTCGGGCGACCGAAGGCCTGTCGGTCGCCCTAATACGGACAGATTGACCCTTAGAAAAATTGTCTGAGAGAGAATTGGTAGGGACTTTTGTCCGACCGGTTCGGGAAAATAAGGGGTACCCAAACCACCAAAATAATTGGATGCGTCGGCCGCTGAGACTAACCCTCCAAATTGGCAAGAGGGACTACCTCTTCTACCGCGCCGGCATCTATCTTATTTCCGCCACTCCTAGCCTATTTTCGAAACAACTGGCCGCGGAACGGTAATTTGAAGAATAGGCCTTAGCGATACCCTTTTACGCTGCCCAACTGGCGCGAGAATGGAGCCTCAAAATTTTTTTATTTTAATATTAATTTTTTTTTTTAAAAATGGATAAAAACAATAGGAGGAGAAGAGAGAAATGAGATATTCTTTAATTTATTTATTTTATTCGGCATTTAATTTTTAATGAGATCCCCCTTATTTATTAATATTTCCGACGATACAATTAAAATTAAGAAAAAGAATCAAAGATAATAAAAGAAAAGGAAAACAAGAAAATTTGATATTTAATTGAATTCCATCGGAATTTATTTTTGATGGAATTGCTTTTATTTTTGTTATTTTCGATAATCGAATTAAGAAATAAGGGAAATAATTAAATATGATGAAAAGGGAGAAACCCACGAATATTAGATGATTAACTAATATTTGCCCAAATTATTCGAGATCGGATCCAACCCTGGAATATTCATTTATTCTATTTCTGACGATTCTCTCTATTTTCCGACGATTGAGATTGCTCGCTTGCTCTACCTGATTTCCCTTATTCCTAGCCTTCTCGCAACCTGTGTGTTATGAGTGCGGGGTGGATGGACGGCGTGGGTTATCGCCATGCTACTCGATTATGCCGCACGGCTTCTTTGCGTCGGTGTTGTTGCTGCTTCGGTTCGGACACATGGTTCGGGAACCCCGGTGCTATTACGGGATTGCGACATTCTACGGTATTCGACACATTTCAGGCACGGTTTTGGGCCGGCATCAATGTGGTACACGCTGGTGCATTATCCTTTGGTTCAAAACATGTTCAGTGTTGGTACGACGTTGGTCCAGTATAGGTCTGGCAGGGGCGGGCTCCATCTGCGGTACGATACTTGAGCTA